CGTGAGTGGACTGCCTGAGCCCGTGGGTTCGAGACCCGCCTGGGCAACTTGGCGAGACCTCATCTCTACAATAAATCAAAAATGAGCCAGGCATGGGAGCGTGCACCTGTAGTTCCAGCTACTTGGAAGGCTGAGGTAGAAGGATCGCCGGAGCCCAGCAGGTCGAGGCTGCGTGGCCAGGAGTGGCCACTGCACTCCAGTCTGGGCGACAGAGTGAGACTAAAAAAAAAAAAGCTCAAAAAACCAAGATAACATAGCCCACAAAACGCTAACCTTGTGATTTTGGAAACCAAAGATGAGGTGACTCTGATTTGGTCCGTGAAAATGTAATGAGGCAAAAGGAGGTTAATTAGAATCTTCTCTAAATCTACCCCTCATTTTTCTCATCTCAACTAGTTCTCACAAATATTCCGGTTTAAAGTAGAATAAACCACTATTGGATAGGCTGGAGAAGAAGGGGAAAATGTCTCTAAAAAGCACAGCAGACAAAGAATCCTCAAAAGGCCACAGGCATCTGGTTATGTATAGAACCCCTAGGGTCTAAACATACCCACGAGGGATTCTAGTCACAAACCCAGCAATGAGTTTTAAGTGAAAGAATTGTAAGTAGAGGAACAAGAAGGGAAGAGTAGCTGAAGGAGGTGAGAGGGAAAGAAGGAAACAGAGGAAGAAGAAAGGAAAAGGGAGGGATGAAAAAGAAAAGAAAAATGGGAGAGAGAGAAAGATGGCGTGATCAGGATTGCAGAACTAAAAACAGAAATGAAATCTGGGAAAGAAAAACAAGAGTTTATTTTGTGCTTGAATTCTTTTCTTCTCACTCTCACTCACTTGCATCAACTACAGAAGGCTGGTTTCAACTGGTTTCCAAGTTCTTTCAGAAGAGCCATTTTGTTTTCAATTCTGGGCTTGGTTTAAACCTCCTGAATCCATTCCTTAGAGAGTCTGATGACTGAGCGAGGAGCATTTTACTCCGTTACATCTGCCTACAGCCCCATCTTGCAGGTTCATGTAAAATAAAGTCTTTTCCCTACCACCTTACTTTTTACCAGTCAATAGGTGATTTGTATAGATCTGAGAAACTGACGGTTCTAACACAGACTCAAACTCTTACTTCGGTGAAAATACATGATTTGCTTTAAAAGCCAACATCATTTCCTCTCATTTCCACCATTAACCTAACCAGAAGTGAAGCATGCCAATGACCCAAGCAAACATATGACTTCTGGCTTCTAATAAAAGCAAAAGTCTGAGAAGTAGTGGTGGGCTCTCTTGCTCATGTATAACTAACCAAACTCTATTGGACAAAATAACTCTGGATTTGAAACCCTCCAGTTACCCCACTATTAAGAAATCTTAGTTGAATTATTAAGAATAAATCTTGTGACTCCTGCCTAGGTGAAAATCGCAAGCATGAACAAGACGACCTCATGTGATGTGTGGTCCCCAAACACCCTAAGAATGAATCATGAGTTATGGAAAGTTACTCCTGTTGGGTTTTCCATATATTCCTAGATCCTGGGAGGCATTTAAGCCACCTTTTGAAAAAGCTGATAATAAGTAGGTCAGCCACAGCAACTACAATCAGACAGGCTGCCCCAGGGAAGGTTTCATCTGCAAGTCTGAAGCTCTAACATTTAAACGTTGCTGCATTATGATTAAGTGAATCTATTACAATTATTTTCTGCTTAGCACAGCAACTTGTATTTAAACATAAGCAAAACCAGTAATCAGACATCTAAGAATTCCAAACACCAGCCCTCTTGTGCTCTAATTGCAGTCAGCCCCAGGTATCTTTGTTCTTTTTCTATGACTCTCTGTGCCCATTTTCCCCATGAATATTGTGAAGAATAAAATACATGCTGTGTATAAGATTTTCAACATGAAGCTTGTAAACTAGACTCTACTATTCTTAATCACTGAAGAAGCCATATCTCCTGAATGTCGGTTCTTTATATGGCAGGTGATTCCTCCACAATAATTTAATTCTCCTCCATGAAGCCCCCCAGAACGTGTCATGGTGTCAAAGAACATGGGCTTGAGGGCTTACTGCCTGGATTTGAATCACAGCTTCACTTCTGTTCATAAATTTCTGCATCTGCAAAATGGGGATGATACTAGCATCCCACCACAGAATCATGTGAGGCGTAAAGGGCTTCATCTTTGTTCAGGACTTAGAACAGCACCTGACAACCATCAAAGCTATAAATAGATGTTAGGATAAGTGAGTATCTCATTCAGAGGATGTCGTTTGCTCACAATCCACTCATTTTAGAGCCCTCTTCCCCTCAAAACTGAAACGTACAAAGTCCAGGTCCTCTCGCTTTTCAGAGAAGGGAAACCGGCTCAGAGAGGTTAAGTGGATTGCTTAGGTGAGACGGCAAGTTACGGGCCCACCTGAAAGCAGAGGCTAAAGTTCCCTGTTCTCCATTCAGTGGTATTTTTATCACCAAACTTTACCACGCCTCCTTGAGGCCACAGGCCTTCTGTGAACTACAGGAAAAGCTTGCCTGACATGAAGCAGCTGAGGAATGGTCTCCCTTTTCCAAACCTTCTTGTTGATGGGGCAGGGGGCTGGGGGTTGACGAGGATCGCAAGTGTGAGCATGGCAAATTATGGCTGCAGCCACTGTTCTTCTTTTTTATTTTTTTATTTTTTTTTGAGTTGGAGTCCCACTCTGTTGCCCAGACTGGAGTGCAGTGGCCACTCCCGGCCACCGCAGCCTCGACCCGCTGGGCTCCGGCGATCCTTCCGCCTCAGCCTTCCGAGCAGCCAGAATTACAGGCGCGCGCTACCACGCCCAGCTGGTTTTTTTATTTATTGTAGAGATGAGGTCTCACCAAGTTGCCCGGGCAGGTCTCGAACCCGCGGGCTCAGGCAATCCACTCACCTCAGCCTCCCAAAGGCGCGGGATTACAGGCTGAGCCACCAAGCCCGGCTGCTACTGTTCTTCTATGTACACAATAATAATGAACTCTAATAGGCACTGGAACACCCTTTTCAGTACAAAGGGCCAATTAATAACATATCACCCAACTAGCCTGCTGACATTCAAGGGATCTTCACAAGGCAGACTGCTGGGTTACCTGTGCTTCTTGAATGCACAACTCTGAGATTGATTGGCTCACATACCTTATTTTCAAGGTGTGGAGAGGCATGATCCAAGTTAAAAGAGACTCAACTTCATATATTCCCTGTATACTTTGTCGTTCTCCAGGAAGGTGAAAACAGGTAAAAGAATGAAAACTTGAAACAGGATTGAAACGTATTGAAACTGATGTCTAAGCACAAAAGGAAAACTAAATATTGATAATCAGTGAGAAAAGTACATAAAGAGACACTTTATACACCATGTTGCCCATTGCATTTGAAATAATGAGACATTTAAGATAAGACTTAACGGAAACAGCCACAGGGACACTTTGTAGTCAACATGGCCACATGTGATATATAACACTGAATGCATGTACTTTAAATAGAAATCTCATTTAGATTAGCAATGAACTTGCATTTCCTTAGACAGTTTGAGGTCTCTGTTTTTATGAAGCATATCTCACTCCTAATGTTCTACTTCCAAGATTTTAAATCTCAGCCCTATTAAAATGCATAATAAACTTCACAAGTTACTGGAGTATAAGACAAAACAAAATCATATGGTATTTTTCCACTGAAAACACAAGTAAAAGAGTAAAGAAAGTCACAGTGGAGTAATTCTGGCTGTTTCCCAAGGAAAGCCACCACAAATACTCTCATTTTAAATGAACTATTTTAGAAATATCTTTTCAATTAGACATAGACATGCTGTTATATCTCCGCTATAGACAGGAAATCCAATTTGAATAAGTCCATAAACCATCTTAAGAGAAATGCCATCAAATGAAGGTGACCCCAAACTTTTCCTTGATAATAAATTCTGCAAGAAGGCAAATGTCACCTTCTAGAG